TGCGACATTTACGACACTTTAAGGCATAAAATTGCAGAGACCATTAAAAAAGGGTGGCTACCGTCGCGAATTGCACGCACGAGAAAGCGATTCGCTGACGGACTGATCTTGACCATTGTGATTTTATCTTTTGCACAGGAAATATCCGAATAAACTCAAAAATTGATTGCTATAGGTACCTTAAAAATTGTAAAAACGATCGTATTTTAATAGAAATGTGAGAGAGATGAGACAATATCATACATTGCAACTATTTTAAATCTGAAAATCCAACTTCTTAAATCATCAATCCCCATTCAAGATAAAAAAATTAATGTTAAAGTGAGATTAAATTTAAAATTATAAATCCGCTTTCCTTCGGTAAAAATTGCGATAAAGATTATTATCGTTCAATATCCGAAAGAGAATAATTTGTTATTTTTGTTTCTGTATACTTATTCTATTGTCTATATTTAATAAATCTCGTTATTTTTGCACCTTATTATTCTAACGTTTTGCTTACTTCACTGCACAGTTAACTTTGTTAGTGTAAAACAAAGCTTTAAAAATAAATAGTGAAAAAACACCGCACGCTGATCTCAATCTCACTGTTCCACTTTATCTTCAAAATCATTTTTCTCATTCTTCCTATAAATTATTTTCCGATTACCGATCGACTCGTCGCCTGCCACCGAATTGATCAACACACTACGATAATATCTACCGTATATCTAAATATCGATCTCTAAATCCGATTTAAGTAACCGATCCTACTCAGGAATGAGTCGCTCACCTCAGAGAGGCAAGTTACGCGTCCATAGCGGAAGCCGGCATGTGCGTTGAAAGTCGCGGGAGGAAAAGCGGTAGGAGAAGATGGTATTAAAAGGAGAGAGAAAGAGAAGGAAAACGGCGTTTCTAGGGTAATTTTAGATCGGTAAGATAGCGCCTGCGGTTCGTAAGAGAGAAAAAGACGGATAACCGGCTGGTGTGAAGAAGAAGAAAGATGGAACGAGACCAAGAAGCGCGAGAGAGAGAGAGAGAGAGAGAGAGAGAGAGAGAGAGAGAATCTCGAGGTGGGAGAGCAGCATCACCGGAAAATAGCGGGAGAGAGAAAAAGAGAAAATTGAGACGGGTCACGGAGCGTTTACGAAAGCGAGAATGAGAGATAAAGAGGGGAAGGGAAAAAGAGAGTGAGAAAGAGAGTGAGAGTGGAGGAAACTGTGGACAACAGAGTGAGAAAGAGAAAACGGAGAAGGAAACGAGGCGGAGGGCTGAGGAGACGAAAGAGAGAAAGACGGAGAGAAGTTGAGAAGGAGGTAGACTTCGGGTGCGAACAGTCTACTCTAACGCAGTAATGCCGACCAGCTCCAACCGGGTGCCGCCAAATCGAACCCTGGTTCGAATTCCGTACGGCCGTGGCCGCGGAAAGAAACAAAAGAAGGTGGAGGAAGAGGAGGAGGAGGAGGAGGAAGAAGAGGATGAGGAGGAGGACGGGATGAAGAGAAGAGGATAACGATAACGAAGACAACGGCAACGGCGAAGATAACGACGACGACGAACACGACGGGGAAGGTGAATAAAAAGAAGTCACGAAGGTGGAAGAGGAAGAAGAAGAAAAAGGTACGTGCCAAAGAAACTTCCTGTCTTTCTTTTCGTACGGGTGCGGTGTAAAGAAAAGCGAGGGTCAAACTTGATTTGACGTGACATAGCGAAGCTTAAGGGAGAAAAAGGGTGGAACGAGAGAAGATAGGAGAGAAGCTTTTACGTTCGAAAAAGGAAGAAGCCAATGACGACAGCAAGATGGGCTGACATCTCGGTCCTCTGGTTGAAAAAGTGTCTAAATGTGCCCTTATACTAACCTGACGGTTACTGAGAAAGTAATATTATGGTTATTGGTGTATCTTTGTGATTTTTGTGATCTCTGTTTACTTAAGTCTAATAATGTGATGACACATATTAGATTGTTAACGTTTGGTTTCGTCGCTTTATTTTTAGCATAAGACTTCTTTCTAAAAGTAGGGCAAACGAAAAAGAAAAATTTATTATTATAAATTAAAATTAAATCGAATCAATATCGGTTAAACTGACCTTAATGTGATTAATGCAACAATCAACGATTGTATTGGCTAAATTCTTCGACTATTGGAATCATTATCACGATAATTAGCATGTATTTATGATGAATGAACAAACAAGAGCTTATTAATAAAACCAAATAAACTATATGGCGCGCGATTTATTCATTCTATAATATTTCAATCAAGAAAGGCGGGTTATTCACAACGACGTCCAGTCATCTATTTTTCCTCGTGGATATTTCTCACATGTCCGGCACATTCCTTGCAAAAAATCAGCATAGAAAAAGTGGAAGTCGAGAAATGTGAAGTTCGAAGAAATTGGAAAAGCGACGGTCTCCCGAACACACCAAGAATGCTCGCTGAAGAATGTTACCCGCTGCATCGTTTTCTGCAGTTTTCACGACGTCGTCGCGGTTTTACGATGTTCTATTAGAATCGAAGGGCGCGTTTTACTCGTCCGCGTTGCTACGGGCGTAAGAAGAAGACGGACGAGGCAAGGCAATAAAGCGGACAGAACCAAGAAAACTCGAGGTTATCTCGGCGTAAGAAGAAAGAAAAATAACCGATCTCCGATCTCTCGTTCTGTTCCGGAAACGTGCCTGAAGATACCCGCGGACATAAAGAATTTCTACGGCAGAAATGAAAGGGAAAGAGAAAATAACGACAGGAACAAGAGATAAAATCACGTTACAGACTGATTCTGAAAAATTGAAAATGTCTGCGCCAGTTATACGGTGCCCTAAAAGATATTGTAGCTGGTAACTTCACGGTTTTCTATGGTAGACAGTTACAACCGCAAAAGCGCTATTTCATAACTTCATTAAAAACGTCACGAGCATTTTAAACTATATCAATCCAAAAGAGGATTAATATAGTGCTACTTGCTTGTATAAAATATAACAAAACTAAAAGAAAAATAGTAAGTACTGTAAGTTTCGATGAAAAAAATTAGAAAGTTACAACAAAAACTAATTCATTATTTATTACTTTCTCTAAAAAAACAAATTTTCGATAAAAAAAATTAAAAATTACAACAAAAATTAATTAATTACTTTATTATTTTCTTAAAAAATAATTTTTTTCTGACACATCCCATCAACCATTTAAAGATTGTCAGAAGCACTCGCTAAAACTTTTCGCCGTTTTCTCTCCCCGCTATATATATCCAGATGTTTACATTGCCGGCGCAATGGAAGCTTTGGTTGGGAGTGCGGATGCGGTTTTTCTTTTGTTCTGTTCGGGATTACCATCTGCCTATCGCAAACGCAGTTTATTCGGGAATTGTCGCTGGGGAGTAATTTTCCCCCCTGCGATAATCCTTTAAATAACCTAGCAGAATAATACATCGTGAAAGCAAATATTACAATCTCGTAATATTACCACGCTTATCATTTATATTACTACGCTCTTAATTTATGAAAATCAAATTTTCTCCTTCAGCATATTATTTTCTATATATTTTCACATTCAAGCCAACATTCGCTCTCATTTTCGATGTTGTTTTTTTCGAAAGAAATTCAGAGCGTATAATCTAAATGCATGGGAGGAAACACGAGGAGTGTATAAAACCGTGTGTGAATACGAACATGGAATAAAGATAGGTACCGTAAAGGAAAGGACTCGTAACCGCGTCAAATTGCGCGTGCATTTATCAACTGCCCTGTGTGGAGGTGGACATTGAGACATTTGCTCGAGAAAACCGGGACAGTAACAGCACGTCTTCCGTAAAAATACCTCTTCACCGTTAGCTGCCTCGCTGCCTTTTATTGCCGACCCTTTTATTGCGTTATACGCTGCAGCGACTGAGTTGAGTACAATTAGAATCTTTTTTCCCTCGTCACAAAATCGAGTTTCGCCGTAATGTGGCCGACGTTCGTTTCGTGCTTCACTTAATCCTTTCATTTTTCTTCCCGTTAGTCTTTGATTGCAGAACGAATATTGCAGAACAATCGCACCTAGCGGTAGAAATGTAGACGATATTCTGAAACGCAATACAGCGAATCTTCGCAACGACGATAAAACGACTTTCCGATACTCCTTTCCATTGATATACTTACATCTTCAAAAATAATAAATTGACAATTTGAAAATTTTCTATCTTATATTTATACAGAAATCGCGTGTACGATGTTTTACTTAAATATTTTTATGTAACGATAAAAATTAAATTTAAATTAATTTTAATTTTAAACAAGATTAAAAAATTAAATTTAAAATTGTATTGTGCTTAAAAATATAGGAAGGAAACATTTTCAAATACAAAAATAATTCTGAATCACTCTATAATATATAGATACCGATAAAAAAGTTTTTAAACGACTTGAAGATCTGAAAAGAGAATGTTTTTCTGCGTACGAAAAGCTGTTGCCATTATAAGTCAGACAACTGATGTAGACATTTAAGTAGTCACGCTCGAGATTTCTCGGACGAGAAATAAACGACGACAAGCTAAGATACAACATTTTATGTTATGTACGACGGAGATACAATGTCGTAACGATAAAATCTCCTTATGATCGTCGTCCGAGCGTCACAGAGAATTCGTAGGAACCGACATTCGTAAATCCGCACTTCGTAAACCGTTTCTGAAGCTGCTGTGCGCGACCGCAAACAGTAAACGCGACAGTAAATGCGGGAATACGACAAGGAAATTTATTTTGCGACACGTAAAAGCAGCGCGTGCAGCGTGTGCAGCATAAAAACGTGAGCTTCCTTGAAAACTTAGTCGAACGATCGTGAATAGAACTCTTTCGAAAGGTACACTAAACTTGAAAAGTTTTAAATTGCTGAAGAAAATCTTTGCTCCACAAAACTTCAACAACTGCGATATAATATTATACAACATAACAATATTATACATCAATTTTCCAAGTTTTAACTTTCATAATAAACTTTTAAATCAATTTAAAACAGACTTTTTTTACATTGATATTTTAAGATAGCTTCGCGATGACTGAATTACAATCGACCAAGAATAAATGGCTTAAATTAAAGCTATTGTCACTGAAATATATATTTTATTTCTTTCGGAAATTCAATTCGTGGCTCAATTGTTACGATGTTTAACACAGAATATTAAATCTACAAACTCTTTTCTTGCCTTGCGGAGATGTATCTGGACTTTTTGAAGTATCTGTTCTGAACCAATGGTTCGACCGATTGGTTGACTACGAGGTGTTTACACACTGCACTGTCAGACTACGTTCATATGGGATGCCCTGAGTTATTTCTGTCGTAAAGAATAACGGGCCTACACGAGATTCCAAATTGCCGTGAAAGCACCACGTGGGAACCCTCTATCTTTCTCTCTCTTTCTCTCTCCCTCCGACGATCAAATTTTCATCGCTGCAATCCCATGCCGATCCCAAGCGATCGTTCGTCCTGAACACAAAAATGCGGCGTAAAAGCTTTTTTCCTTCACGCCAACCAATCTGTCGGCCGTCGACCGTAATAACGAGCGGAAGAATTAATCGTCAACGGTAGCCTTACGAACCGACTGATGATTCATTTCTAACTCAGCGATCGTGCGTTTTTCTTGGAGTCTTTCCCCGTTCCATCAGGCCGTTGACAGGTCGGACGTACTCGAAAAATCAGTTGGGGCAAGTCGCATAGAGCAGCGAAGGCTGTCTGGTGCTGGCCGTTTCACAAGCGGCTTATTTTTGCGCACTTTCGCTTACGTCGCGACCGTGAGAAGTCATTAAAAATGAATTAAACTTAATAGAAATGTTTGACCCGGATTATAAACGATTTTCTAGCAGAAGAAAAATATAAAAGTTTGAGTGATTACTTTTCGATGAGAAATTGGTACTGTGTTGTGTGATATATTTGCTACTCTCTCTCTCTCTCTCTCTGCTTCAATATTTACTATCGTCGTAAGAGACAAATGGTTAAAACTATATAAATATCAAATATTTCCAAGGAAGATAAATTAAGAAGATATCTCTACTTCGAAATGAAAGAGAAATATAAATGGACAAAAAAAAAGTTTGACAGAGCATTGTATCTGGGGGCAAAGAACTCAACGTTGAAAGTGACAAAAGTGATAAATAAAGATTTTTATATTAAAAGAAAGTCGACTCGTAATTCTTGAAAAAATCTGTCAAATATTTTACGAGTCCTGAATGATGCCAAATCTGTGATACTACCGTAAATACGTAAAAGGACTTTAGTGTATATCGGAGAGAGCATGTCGTACGCGGTCGTCAGATCGAAATGATTCATGAGCCGCCGCGAAGACGTACGATCCAAGAGGAATCCCACGGCTGTGTCTTCGCGCCAGCGGAGGTAACCCGCTTTCAAGGGCAAAACGATAGCATCGCAACCCAAGTTTAAATTGGAGGGTCGGCCGCTTAAGATTCAGTTCTATAAACTTGAAAGTTTAGTCCCACTTCCAAGATGGAAGGCAAATCGAGGGAGGCCGAACGCGAGAAAGGAAGGGTGAGTCACGAGAGGAAGGAACAGCGAACTTCCGAAGACGAGGCTTACGAAAGCTTGACGCTGCAATTAGGCAAGCATTTTCGATTGAATTCAATTAGCCGCCTCCGTGGCCTCGTTGCGAATCCGGATTGCCTCGGCAGAGTGACTTCTGCGCGCGCGGCGGAACTTGGCTTGTATTGTATTCCCAACGTTTCCTAAAGTATACGGGAATTGCAAATGGAGACCATCTTCGTTAGCATTTCTCGTGAGGCATCTAAGTATATCTCCGCTTCATTTTATTACTATTATTAGACATTCCTGCCCAAAGAGGGTAACCTGACCGTGTCCCATGTGACTTCTTTTATTGCGCGCGTTTTATATTCATTCGTTTAATATCCTGCGGTGAAAAGTAAGACATCTGCATAATTTATGTATGGGTAACTTGTTGCAGAATCATGCATTAATTCCATTATAAAAGCTAGCTGGAAAAATATTTTCTTTATAGAAAAAAAGTTAAGTCTTAAATAATATGAGAGTAATAAACGAATCACAATTAGTTTTCACAGGACAATTTTGAAATAAATTTTTTCGTAATTGTAAAAAAACAATAAAAGCATTTTTTTCAAATAATTGCTAATTTAAATATTTTGTTCACATTTTATGTAAGTTTTATTATCTTTTTTCTTTATGTGTCGTTCATTACGTAAATTTTGTTCATTACGTAGATTTTAAATAATTATATTATAGCTTTGTTTTTCCTGAGCTGAATATAAAAGACAAGATATATGTTATTGGAAGCAAACATGGATTCTCATCTAAAACTTGATATATTCTCATTTTTAGCCAGAAGCGAAATATCGATGAAACATGTCGCATTATGAATAAATGAAGCTTATACGAGGCATCTCGCTTAATTGGACACGACTCGTTTTGAATGAAAAGCCCGAGAATGGCGCGCGGCACCCACGTCGGGACCATCCTCTTCGTTAGGTCCGACATGTTTTCCATCGATGACGGATATATCGGGGTCTCGGATGTTCGCCCTCGAGCAGAATTTTGCAGTGAAAAGAAAAAAAATACCAACGGAACTTGACGAATAATAATTAAAATTGTCGACTCTCGAACGCCGGGGAACGATCCGGTTAACGATCACGATCGAAAAATTAAATCTTCATGTCGCATATGTGCAAGCAACTTGCATCCAGTGCATGCTACCCGCGAACGCGTGTAAATCATTCGCAATGTGCATTCGAAACCACAGTGTACACGCATTTCCGTGCGGCATTTACGCATTGCGAGACGCGCCGCAACGAGAAGCCGCGCGACGATGCACGTGTTAACGTCACGCCGGTAAATGCGTCGACGACACGTGTTTCGCATGTAATCCATGGGCCCGTCGTTGCCTCGACTGTATGTCATGAACACCATTGACATGTTCTACAAAGTGTTCCCGGGTTAATCGCTATCTCCTTGAACGGTATGCACTTTAACTGATACAGACTGGATCTTTGTTTAAGCTAAACTTATTACAGTTAGAATAAAGTTTAATAAGTTCATCAATTAATCATATATCTTTATCAGTGTTACAAATATAATAACACTATTTTTGCGTAATTAATCTTTAAATTACATTCCAGTTAAAATTGTTATTAAATAACAAATAAAATATTAATTTCAAATTTTTTGAAAATGTGAAGTTAATTTGAATAATTTTGATTTTCACAAAGCAGTAATTAAAATTTTCATAATTAAATACTAAATTATTTACGTTGTATGTAAATTCTTCATTAATATTATAATAGCTATTTCGTTAACTATTTCCAATTTTAATAAATATCAAACAAATTTGTTTCAACGTTAAAAGATTTATTAACAAAGTCATCATATCGACAAACTCTAATATCTTACTTTTCTTATAGGAAATAGCAGTGCACGCTTACGTATGCCCATTACGGAGGACAAATAAAACGGAGGTTTTAGCTCCATTTCAAACAGTACGACGATGTAAACGTAAGTGAGGAGATTCCCTTTAACATGAAAAGACGTCGGCACAAATCATTCCGTGAACAGCAACCCGTCATCGCTTCGCTTAATAATAACACGCCCAGTCATCAATTCCATTCCAACGCGGCCGATCATTCGAATCGAGGTTTTGAATTGCGGGAGGTCTGACTCGCGTCGACCTTCGAACGAAACGCCGCGTTACGCTGAAAGTAACCCGCCCGGAAATTGTTAAAATTGTGCACACGCCGGCTGGCCGATAACGTCCCGATCTCGCACTTCACGGTGTAAATTCGATTTTCGCACGAGGCGTCACGGCCGCTACATCGTTTACGTTTCACGCCACGCAGATACGCTTGCGAGAGAAGGCCGGACTGGCTTTGCACGCAACATCACCATTGCGTGAGTTAGATACAAAAATTCAAAATCCTGTGTTAGGTAATGCACAACAAATTTTCAAAATATATGACAAATTTATTTGTATTTTAATTAATTTCCTTAATTTAGAAAGCTTTGCTTTTAAAGAAATAAATAAACAGTAAAAAACTTTCTTTATATTTCATGTAAAAGAAAATATTTTTCACAGGGTTGCTACAGAAAATAAATTTTAAAGTTCCATGACTTTTCCAGGTTTTCCGAATGAAAATGGAAAATTTTCCATGACTAATATAAAATATGTAAATTTTAACATTTAGACTCAAGGATTGTAGGAAAGCTATATTATTAAAAACGTAAAAAAAACTTAATAGCATCTTGTAAAATCTTGGGTGCAAATTTAAACCAGCAAAAAAAATTAGTTTTGAAAAAAGAATGCCGTTATAACGAAAAAGAAGAATCAAATGAAAATACTAAATAAAATATATATTTGAATTATTTTGTTAAAATCGTTTAAAGTGCGCAAGTTTTGAACTATAAAAGCTATATTATTAAAAACGTAAAAAAAACTTAATAGCATTTTGTAAAATCTTGGGTGCAAATTTAAACCAGCAAAAAAAATTAGTTTTGAAAAAAAGAATGCCGTTATAACGAAAAAGAAGAATCAAATGAAAATACTAAATAAAATATAAATTTGAATTATTTTGTTAAAATCGTTTAAAGTGCGCAAGTTTTGAACTATAAACGTTAGATATAATATTTAAAAAATTATAACAATTATCTGGAATAAGAACAGTTTAAGGAAATTGTGTGAGCAAATTTTAAAATTCCAGACTTTTTTACATTTTCCCCTTACTTTTCCCGGTTTTCCTGGTTTTCCGGGTCTGTGGCAACCCTGTTTCAGTACTTAACATATTTGTAATAGAATCACAAGACATGTAACATAACATATCACAATCAAGATATATAAAATTAAATTACAGTACAGCAACGTATAGCTACACTAAAAAGAAGTGCCTGGTAATAGCTACCAAATGTTGAATGAAATAAATTTCAACCAAATGTTCGGTTAATATAAAATAATTTAATTTTTCTATATAAATATTTAGTTATAGTTATTACCAAATGGTTGGTTATATTATTATATGTGGTAATAGGAGAGACCGGGGCCGATTGTCATAGTTTTTGATTATTGATTTTTAGAAAAAAATGGATACCTGATTTTGAAATATTATATACGTTACAATATACCTACATCCCTTAGATATTAAAAAAAAATATTACTCATGAATTCATCATATCATATAAATAAGTTATTTAATTTTAAATAAAGCTGCGAAAATATGACAATTAACCCCGTGTTCTGGGTTGATTATCACACATTTTAGGATTGGTAGCATATTTGTTATAGACAACACATATAAAAAACACAATTTTTATTTTAATATCAGTTCTATATTTTGAGAAATAATAGTAATTATAGTATTATACAAATAAAATAGTTATTTTAATCATAAAATACGTAATTTGTTTTTGTACTATAGTTTCTATATGAAAAATGAAAAAAACATATATCTATATGAAATATAATATATTTGTAAGTATATTCTCTCTGAAAATGTGTCCTCTAAAGATATTAAAATTAATTGTCACCTAACTTCATCTCATTTTAGTCAATCTACCCCACATAATCATTTTTAATAAAAGAGATTGTATTCACAAACTTAGTCAGAATAATGATTACTTAATTGTAGCAAAGATCTTCTAAGATATGTAACTTTCTATGAATACAGGGATATTACGATTAATAATGTCAAAGACTTGTCAGACAACAAAATAGGTGATTATAAAAATTTACTCACCGACTTTATTTTCTCAAAAATCGCTATAAATAATACGAGTATATACAATGCTTGTGTTGCAAACCATTTTACACAACAGATTAATATTTTATCAGCTATCTACAGTCAAAAAAAGAGATTTTTCTGCCATGTCTTGTTTGAGTTATAAGCATTTTGACAATCAACCCCGTACGACAACCCCGGTCTCCCCTACCTATAAATATTTCGGTTATATTAACCAAACATTTAAATGAATTTGTCTTACTCAACATTTAAAAGCTACCAGATTCTTTTTTTCAATGTATATTCCGCATGTTAAAATTTTAATTTAACTATCTAGCTTATACATTGAAAATCGCGGTTGTGATTATTTGGTATTAACCATCAGATTGCATGTCGAAATCCATGTCTGGTTTACATCGAGGATTATATCGGTATATTGATATGCGCGTAATACGTAGCAGCTAAACGCGTATCCGTCGAACAGACCGGAAATCGTTAAAATTACACGGCCACCAGGTGGCCAATAGGTAAAATATAGCACTTCTGAAAAAAGTACTTTATGAGTGAGATCAAGATCTATTCTGATCGCAAATAGAGATGAGAGAAATTGTTCGAGCAATAAAATAATAATATGAATATTACATTCAGCTATCTCTGTTTTCACTAATATTTCATATATTTACAATATATAATACTATCAAATATAAATATCAGGTATAAGTATCAATTGAAATATCAGAAATATTTTATTAAAATATTACGAATTGCCGCAGCTTTTTTTTTTTATTAAACTTCAACATTCAAATCCTATTTTCAAGCAATAGATTAAAAGATAGTTGCATAATTAAGATATGTTTGACGTATATTTAACGACATCTGTCCTTCTGCAAAAACATTAAGAGGATAGCATTGCCGAAGAGATGACATTAAAGTACTTAAGACGAATATATATTTCGTCTTAACACCGTGCGAAGTGCGAGCGTGGCAACAGAGAGGATGGGAGAAAGACGTCCTCATTAATCCTTCCGGCTTTATCCGGTCGCGCTGGCACGTATCTTAAAGGTCTTCGCACAGGAGTTGTGATAAATGTCATGCAAATGCGCGCCTCTTAACGAGCCCTAAGTTTTTGCCCGGCAGCGTGAAAACTTTCGTACTGTTAAAGTTCATGTTCACAAAGGAGATACATCGCCCCCGCCTTTCTGTCTCGTCGTCATGCTTAAAAGAGCGTAATTGTTGCACGGCGTAACTTCTGGTCTCTTCTACATCGTCGGTGCGTGTTTCGTATCAAAGACCTCTCGCGCGTCCTATCTTGTTAAATTGTGAACCCGCAAACAACATACGTCAACAGAACGTTTCACACATAAGCATTTTATTTTGCAAAAGCTACGTCGGTGATTTGCACGCGACGCGTTTGTTTATAAATAGCTGTATCATCTGACGCTGTGCCCCCGAGAAATTCATTAATCATCCGTACAAGTAAAATTAGTAATAAATAAAATAAGTTTAATTAAGCAGAACTGATCTGTGGCGGACAATGAAATTAACTCTGAATAAATTTCGTCTGACTAAATTTTCAATAGATCAGACAAAATCAATTCAATTCTGTCAAATAAATAGCAATAATAATTTATCAACAGGATAATTATAGCATAAAATCTTTAAATATCCTTTCTTTAATTCAGCGAACTATTTGATATTAAGACATATCGTAAAATAATTTGTATTAAAATTAAATTGTCGATATTTCAAATTGTTATAAAAGTACAAATATGATGAGAATCTCAATCATTTTCGAGGAATTTTAAATAAAAACTACAGAAATAAATTTTCTTTATATAGATTTCTTGATATATAATTCGTTTCGCAAGTAATTTCCGTCGACGAATACAACGTTAATTTTCGTGTTAGACATGAGCCATGAATCATGCTCATCTGCTATTTGGAATGTGTTCAAATCGAGTATGTACTCTAAGAACACATCAATAGCACCTTATTTCTCCAAAACTCTGTTTTTACTACTCTGATTTCACGATCTTCATGTATTTATACATTTTAGCATAATTTTACCTTTTCCAGTATGATATCATGAACGAGAGAAAAGTTTCGTCTTTGTCATTTTACCTTTTTATCATTTTCTTTCGACGTTAATTAAAGGATCAACTTCGTTAAGAAAGTCCGCAGACGTATGACGAAGCGTAAAGTTTTCGCTCTTTTTCTAATTACCGCGTGAGGTAGCCCAGAGATAATTACAAGTTCCTAATGCAAACACGAGGAGATCGTTATTTATACAGCAATGAAAAGAAAAAAGCTAACTATAAATGAAAAAAGGATCAAATAAGAAAGAAAATACGAGGGTAGATATTGATACCTAATATTTCTATGTAAATTGTGAATTTTTTACTTATAAAAAAATCTGCGAGCGATTATTGTCGGACTTGAAATACAATCACGTAACTGAAGAAAAAATGATATCCCAAATTAAACTAATCGATTTGCTATATAGGGGAGAGTTGACTAAGTGAACCGACGGTTAAATCGTACCTCCATTGTATTTTCTAAACGAAACATTTTTTTTTAAAGATGATGACACTGATGTGACACTGGTAATATGGGTTAAGAACTATCATTTTTGTTTTGTCTTCGAGTCGACTGTTTACGAGTGACATTCAAAATTGATTTTGTTCGGTGTCTGATCTAAGTTTTGGTACAATTTACCTAAGGTGTTATCAATACAAAGTGGGTAATTGAATTATAGTGTTCCTCATGGTTATAATTGATATTTAAACTCTTTTCGAGAGTATAGCATCAAATTAACAAAATATTTGTAAATTATGTTGCTATTGGCAAATTTGTAAAATAGAGGGAGTTGGGTAAATCGTACTTGTCACTGGTCTTTATATTGTACCGATACGATTTTTGCAAGTGACGCGAGCAATATGTGGAGGTTACTATTATGATAAAAAAGGACCTACAGTGGATTGGATTCAGTGTGTTAGGTGCTTTAAGTGATTGCATGAAACCTATAGTGACAATCCTGACATTTACCAAAACTGTTTAAATAAGCGCTCAAGAAAGTGATTACTTATCAACTATTGAGTCTTTCTATTAATTTTGTCTATTGAGTCTTTCTATTGAATCTTTTCTATTGTGACGAAAAAATCCGTAATTGATTTTATTTCCAAAATTTATTTTTTCAAAATATCTGAGATTTTAATATTCTGAAATACGAGGTGTGTTCAAAAAAAAGGTGACTTTTTATTTTTCTCGAAAAATATTTATTTATTCATCACTATCTATTCTGTCCCCTTCAAAGTAATCCCCCACAGATATTATACACTTATATCAGCGCTTTTTCCAATCCTCGAAGCACTTCTGATATGCGCTTTTTGGTATGGCCTTGAGCTCTTCCAGCGATGCGGTCTTTATCTCCTCAATCGTAGCAAATCTCCGTCCTTTCATGGGTCTTTTCAGTTTTGGGAACAAGAAAAAGTCGCAGGGGACCAAGTCCGGTGAATACAGTGGCTGAGGCATGATTATGGTGTTGGTTTTGGCCAAAAAATCACGAACAAGCAACGACGTGTGAGCTGGCGCATTATCGTTGTGCAATATAAGTGGCTGAGGCATGATTACGGTGTTGTTTTTGGCCAAAAAATCACGAACAAGCAACGACGTGTGAGCTGGCGCATTATCGTTGTGCAATATCCATGACTGGTTGTTCCACAATTTCGGGCGTTTTTTTCGTATTGCTTCACGCAAACGGCGCATAACTTCAAGGTAATATTCCTTATTGACCGTACGACCTTGTGGCAAGAACTCACGATGCACCACGCCATTGTAATCGAAGAAAACAGTGAGCAAAACCTTCACATTTGACCTAACTTGACGTGCTTTTTTCGATCTTGGCTCTTCTGGCCGCTTCCATTGGGATGATTGGGCTTTGGTTTCGACGTCATAACCATATACTCATGTTTCGTCACCAGTTATGACCCTTTTGAGCAAATCTGGATCGTCGTTAACGTCATTCAACAGCTCCCGAGCGATGCTCATGCGGCAGTTCTTTTGGTAAAAATTTAACAATTTCGGAACAAATTTCGCTGCCACACGTTTCATGCTCAAAACATCCGAAAAAATTGCATGGCACGAGCCAACCGATATGCCAACATCCTCAGCAATTTCTCTAATAGTGATTCAACGATTCTCCATAACAATTTTCTTCACTTCTTCGACTTTTTCATCGGTTGTGACGTGCTGGGGCGTCCAGGGCGGGCATCGTCATTAACATCTCGGCCTTCTGTGAAGAGCTTGTACCACTTATAAACATTTTTTTTACTCAAAGTAGACTCTCCAAATGCCGCAGTCAACATTTCAAGTACGTTAGAGCACTGTATTTGATTTTTCACACAAAATTTAACACAGATTCTCCGATCCATTTTTTTTTCGATAGCAAAAAATCGCCAAGCACACCAAACCACATCTAACCTTTATATCTGTGAAAAATAAACTAGTCATGCAAAACAGCCGATAATCTCAACATATGTTGGAGTCATGTGTACCAACATAATAAAAAAAAAATTCGAGAATCGAATGTACGTAGCTCGCGAAATTTGAAAAGTCACCTTTTTTTTGAACACACCTCGTATAGTGCAATGATAGCTTAAATCAATTTAAGTATTGCTTTTTACTTTGTTTTCTTAAATGAGTTTAAAAAACACAGAGTCTACCAGGTGTAGAAGTATGAAACCGGAATTTCCCTATATATGGCACTAGCTATCAGTTTAGGGACTCCAAGGCCGCATCTGCAGCGCCATCATCTCTCTCTAACAGCTGACGAAGATTTCCAACACACAACAACCCAAGTTCCATACACCGGTATATTTTTTCATAACCTTAAACATGTCGAGTTTTGTGCCTACGAACTACGATTTGCGGACAGCATTGGTTTTCTGTTATCATTTGAAGAAAACTGCTGCAGAATCGCATCGAATGCTTGTCGAAGCTTACGGTGAACATGCTCTTGGTAAAACACAGTGTTTCGAGTGGTTCAAAAAATTTAAAAGTGGTAATTTTGACGTGAGAAACGAAGAGCGTGGGAAACCACCGAAAAAGTTCGCAGACAACGAATTGCAAGCCTTGTTGGATGAAGATGATATTCAAACTCAACAAGAACTCCCGAATCAATTGAATGTGACGCAGAAAGCCATCTCCATTCGTGTGAAAACTATGGGAAAAATTCAGAAAGTGGGAAAATGGGTTCCGCATGAACTGAATGAAAGACAGCAAGAAAATCGAAAAACCGTTTGTGAACTGCTGCTCGACAGATATAAAAGAAAGTCATTTCTCCATCGAATCGTGACAGGTGATGAAAAATGGATATATTTTGAGAATCCTAAGTGTCGGAAATCATGGGTGAATCCAGGCGAACCATCAACATCCACGACAAGACCAAATCGCTTTGGAAAGAAGACAATGCTCTGTGTTTGGTGGGATCAGAAGGGTGTAATTTATTATGAGCTGCTAAAACCTGGTGAAACCGTTAACACTAATCGCTACCAACAGCAAATGATCGATTTAAATAGATCATTATGTGAAAAACGACCGGAATATGGTAAAAGGCAACACAAAGTCATTTTGCTTCATAATAATGCTCCATCACACACAGTAAAACGAGTCAAGGAAACGATCGAGGCGTTCAGTTGGGAAATATTAGCGCATGCGGCTTATTCTCCAGACTTGGCTCCGTCCGATTATCATCTATTCGCATCACTGGGACACGCTCTCGCTGAACAATACTTCAATACGTATTAAAATGTACGAAAATGGCTCGATAACTGGTTCGCGTCAAAAAAAGAACTGTTTTTTTGGCGTGGCATTCATAAACTGCCGGAGAGGTGGGAAAAATGTATAAATAGCAATGGAGATTATTTTGAATAAAATATTATTTATCATTTTCAAACAACAGACGTGTAATTTTTACAAAAAAATTCCGGTTTCATACTTCTACACCTGGTAATTTCTGTTTTTATAATAGAAAAGTTTTTATTATACCTATTTAAATATGTATACTCAGTTTAAAATTAAAAATAAATTTATTAATAAATAAGTTTTAAAATTAATTTTGTTTATTTTTCCCAGTAAACAAACTGACGTTATTTACCGTCATTTTGACGTTAAAGATGTTATTTTAATGTCAAAATGACAATAAGCAATGTCAGCTTGTTTGCTAGATTAGAAGTACGATTTAAGAACCAGATGATACAATTTAACGACCCGGTCTTCAAATCGTACCGAAAGCTACTTTTTTTAAATTTAATTTAAACAATAATTTAATGTTTATTTTCGTAAAAGTATTGTTTTATTTTATTGCCAATGAACCAAAGTTTAATGTAAGTATAGAAATATTCTAATATATCTCTTTAGTACTTTTGTTACAATTTTGTTTAAACGTTAGGGGGTACGATATAGGCGACTTTCCCCTACATTACCAAGACTTTCATAAATAACACAACAGTCGTCCGACACTTCATCTATTGTATGCTCTTGTTCTATATTAAATGAGATGTCACGCTCCGCGTAAAAGTGGAATGGACTCTTATTTGAGTTTTTTAAGTACGACAAGACCCAGATTCAATCCTAAAGTCCCATATATTTTCTCTTGAGTTTTTCATAATTTTTTAATAATATGCAAATTTTTCGAAATTTATCTGGTACAGTATTCAGCGTAAAGCATAATTATATAATTTCTATACACAGCTGTGTTCCAGAATAAAAAATATGAATTATAATTTCAAAAGAAAATATATAGGATTAACTTCGGGATTGAATCTGGATTTATGACCCAAAGGAACCAAATATGTGTCTATCGTTTTCGCGTAGCACCCCAACAACTTTTTTGATTAAATTAAAGAGAAAAACTTTTTTCTTTTTTCTTATCGTCTTATTTCATATCCTATATTTTTAGTATATTCGCGATATTTCGATCTACATGGCACAGTTTCTATTTTCATTTTTATACAACTTTAAATATTACAACTTTAACTAAATAGATTTAGAATAGTACTTTTACATCTCTCGCTATAAAATATCCATTTTATATTTCAACATATTGTTATAGCTTTTAATTTATTGATTTTAATTTTAATTCTTCCTTTAGTTTTATAAAATTGTTTAATTTTATTCTTAATTTCAACAGTAAAACTTTCTACATATTCCATTTTCCTTAAAATATGATAAACTTCTACTTCAGCATACTTTTCTCTCCTTCTTGCTTTCTCTTTGTGTCTTTTCAGAATAAGGCAACAACAAGATCGAGGATACACTTGCTTTACTACATCATCCTCTTTGATGCCATTCTTTAGACTTTGAATGTCGTAAGAAGAGCGAGCAAGAATGAGAGAGAAACAGGGGAAACGCTGAGAGAGCAACATCGCGAAAAAAAGTGTCTTTCAAAGCGGATACTCGCTTCCTCCTACACATAAGAGCGGAATGTTTTGCCATTCCGCGCATTTACTCGAACACGAGTATCGGATACTCCGCGTTCTACGATACAAGAAGCAATCCTCTAAGCGAAGCTGTCGAGAAGGTTTTAAATCACGTACAATATCCTGCGAAACTTCCTTCACTCAAGTATCCTTCATGATTTCTTTCTCGACCAAAATCTCAGCAAATAAAACCAACTTTATTCACGATAGTTCTTACACAACTTTAAATATTAAAACTTTATAATATTAAAACAATAATATCAATCCATTTCGATGTTTGGATAAAATGAATTTTCATTAATTTTATATAAAAGCAATATTCTATTTTTGCAGCCAATAAAGCAGACTGATAAAAACCAAATTATAAACTATTTGAAAATAATGATATAATTATTCTAAATACATTTTCATTGAATAAATTTAATCTAATTCTAAGCAATGAGATTTTTTCTTCACTATTCCCTGAAGTGTTCAATATTCCCTTTAGTATTTTTAAAATATTAATATGACTGTAATTATAAAAATAATTTGTTTTTATATGACTATATTATTTTGTAATTATATGACTGTTATATGTGTGATATTTCTAATATATATATATATTTCTTTTCAGATCATCAATAATAGGAACAAAAGTAATCAGGAATTTCAACAACCAGGTCAGAGAATATACGGAATTCATAAAAAAAAAACGCTACGAAATTTACGAAGTGTGTCAACTATAATCATCGAAATGACATATTTCGATCTAACGGTACAGCTCGGCAACCGTTTCGTCATTTTCTTTTAAACTTTAACGCATTTTTCAAGGACCAACGAATCTTCACGCAACGGAGACATTACGCATCATCATAGATAATCGCTTCACAACAACTACGAGGCATACATATCTGTTCATCGTTCTCGCGAGAGCAGTTTTTGCGCGAGTACACGGACGCGTCCCACCGGATAGGAAAGAGACTAGATACTGCGATAGAAACTAGAAGTTCAAGCTGCAACTTTAAGTCCCTTGTGAATAATCGCTGGCGATTTCCTAGAGGCGAAAATCTCTACATTCATAACGGCGCGTGGTAGTCGACCGATGACTGCCGCAGCCAGCCAAAGATTGCAGAAAATCCGCCCAAGCGACGAGATAAATTCTCTCGCGTGTGCCTCGTGGACGTGCAAAACAAATTAAAAGAAAGGGGTATAGAAAGAACGAGAAAGAGAAAGGGGAAAAAATAAAAAAATACAAGAACGGCGCTTAAAAGTACGAGAGGTGGTCGCCTGAGCACGCTGATAAACGCTGAGTAATGGGGACGCAAATTACGTGCGAGGAATACTGCGTGAGAAATGAGTGCCCGATGCAAATTCTGCTGGCCGCTAGGACGATGCAGCGACCGATACTGCCGGATACTGTAACTCTGTCTAAACGATTCACCACGACCACGTGGACCGAGGATAGGCCCACGAAGCAAACCGGCCGTCCATCGTCTCCGTGACGATCCGAGAGGATGTACGTAATCCCAGGAGGAATTAACCAATTAGTACTGGCGGTAGAGGATTTGCGCTAAGTTAATACAACGATGAGTATCAATACAACGGAGATCACGGAATAGATTACGTTACTCGCCAACAACGATAGCTCTCAACTCTGTCCTCGTTATGGACCAAGATACATAATCCGCAGGATACTACAACGCGTTATATCATTCATGAAGCATATACGAAATTTTAGACGGATTATTCCTTAGCAACTCAATGGCTTTTAACCTTGGTTTCACGATGCAACAGCGTGGCGATATTAGGTCTGTATAGACTACGTGATATCACGAGTCAAAACAAACTTTGCAATACTACAAACATGTATAGTCTTCTCAATAGGGAGTGACTCGGCAAGTAAAGTGTCTGTTCGGTCTCTCCGGCATCAATTACACCTCACTTCCCGGATTTGTTCCTGGGATTGACGCAGGCAGACTCTTCGCCGACGAAGTGACTGTGCGATTATTCGAGGAACATACGTTCGGCTTTAAACGGAGGAAATGGCTTCGTGCCGTGTTGCTCTCGAGATCCAGCGTATCGGCGCGAGTGCGCACCTTTAATCGTTACAGTGCGAAGTTATTATAAGACTAATTATATAAATATATATATAATATAAAAACTAATTTCCCGTTATTGTATGAGTTAATATAAGACTAAGATATACTTGCTAAATGACTAGAAGTGATTTTTCAGTGAAGATAAGATCCAGCGGAAAAGAGAATTTAGTATTAATTCTTATAACATAATATAAAAGACTTTAGACTTTTAGACAATATAATTTTGCGGATTACTATAAAAATATTAATACAAAAATTCCTATCATTAAATGACAGAAAGTGATTAGGTGTCCAATAAGATCCACCATGGAATAAGTAAACTACAGAAATTGCGAACGCTTCGAAGTGAGATGTTTCATGGTATAATACATATAAAGAATAAAGATAAACACTTTAAAACGAATCATCGGATTTACCTACACGATAAAAAGAACGTCAAGTGGTTAAATCGTAGCTGCACTTGCCAAGTCCGACAGACGTGAAACCTTTACGCTCGAAACTTTCTTCGAGTAACGATCGAAGATCAAACGGAGGATCAAATAGTTACGAGGAACAAGAGTATATCTCGCGAAAGTTTCTCGAGAGCAGGGAGGGAACAAGGGAGAGTCGCGTGGTGTTCTCCTCTCAAGAGGCCGCGCGCATGGCACAGCCGATCATTGCGGACAATCGGTCACTCGTCGCGATCCGCTCTTTGTGATACACCACGCAACACCGTTCGCGGAGAAGGAAGAAGACAAGTGGCGCAAAAGGAACAAGATGATGGCGGGAACGGGGGTGGGTGGTGTCGGCGGTGTAGGGATGCTGAGAACCAGACGGCGGGACGTCAGCGTCAAGCCAAATAGAAAACTCGACCGGAAGTCCTCGAGGGGGATGATTTACGAGAACGAGGAGCTCAGACTGAGGACCATTCACATCAATGCCGAGGTGGAGCAAGGTAAAGGGAGAGGGACTCAAGGGGAAGCGCGCGGCAGCTCACGCGGATTTGTCGATGAATCGAAGGTGAAGGTAATCGCGACTGTGTCGTTTCGAAAGGACAATGTCGCGATTACTTCTCCTTTCCGTCGACTTGACCGACTTGATCCCAGTTAGTAAAACGTTCGCGATGGACAAGCGGGATTGAAATGATTTTCAATATACGAAGAGATAAAAAAAATTGTTTCCAACTTTTCTCATGTCTCTTTCGACGAAAAAATATGTATGTTGAATTTAGTGACTAGAAATTCTGTTATGAAACATAAAGTTAGATAAATGAGGCTATTATTTGAATTTTTTGCATCTTGTTAGTATAACGCTGTTATTTTATTCAGCTTATTTATTACTTACACCGTTTCATTTTTTTTCCCTCTCGTCCAGAATGTTTTAAGCGAATTTTATTAACGCAGTTGCTCTGAACGCTACTGTCTGAATTATTAATTTGCCGTTATAGACGATTCACACTCGGGGGCCAAATTAATTTCGCAGGGACTTCCATTACGCGTTAGTGGCAGGCCAGACCAACTAATAATGTTAAATATTTGATCCTCTAGGGTATGACTGCGCCAAAGCAATCAAGGATTAATTTAACTACCGTGCTAAAGGAATTTTTGATATGTTATGGAAAAGCAAGAGTTTCAAACTTTTGTTATTCTATTAAAGTTAATAAATATCACGATAAAAAAGAAGCTAATATCTTGATGATATACAAGATGTTTTATTACGATACATTCATTGCAACAAAAAAGTTAATCCTAAATCAGAAAATATGTCATCAGAAATTTAATTAAACCACCCTTTCGTACAAATTATTACTTTCTCTCTTTCTCTCTCTTTTCTTCCCCTGGCGAATACACTATGGAATTAATTATTTGAGTATTTTTGTGCTTTACTAACAGATGTTTTAATAAACTCGTTTGGCGCAATTGTGCTCTCTGAAATTGGGAGACGTTTTATATATAAATGAATACCATTAATCTCGCGAATCTCGCTACCATCGCTTTAATTATGAATTCGTCATTACGAGTGATACCAAACAAAAGGTCAAATATATTTCGTACGTGATAACCACGGGGAATTTTATTACGCGACTGTGGTAGATCTGGTAAACTGCATCGCGCCGCGGTCATCTACAAATAGACACGTGCATACATCAGATTGAAGTCGCCGTACGAACTTGCTGCGAACTATTTTCGAGGCCTGGCCTGCACACGCTGAATTTGTCCAGTCGGGTAAGCGAGTAGTACAGTTTCTAGTACCGGCGGTCACGATCCAGCAGACTTGACTCAGTTGCTAAATGCGCCCGAGATGACGCAAAACGCATTCGCGTTCCAATTTCTAAAGAAACGTTCATTTTCATCGCATGACATCAATTTAATCTACGATAAAAAAAGTAGTGAAGTTGATAAATCAAGAGAAAGAGGACAACTTTACCAGTGATTTCTTGTAATTTCCTGTGAACAACGACGAATCCACGTAGTTGATTAAGTTAATCAGTAAATTTATAAGCTGTGGAAATTACAAGTCAAATAATAGTTGAGAAAAAAGGACTGAATCGTTTAAAAGTGAAACACCAATTATTGAATTATTGAGGATTCTAACACAGAAAAGCTCGCAAGAGGCTGTCATTGAATCGACTGCTTAATTAATCACATTTCTTCGACGATGTTTGAATAACAAAATGGTGGGTATATGCATATGTAATCATATAGCTTTCGTCAGGTATTATGTTTTAATTAAACTTCAGGAATGAAATTGAACGGATGTGCCGATATCGCGAGTGAGTACGTTGTTAATATAAAAAGCTTGAATGACGGCACATGAATCGCGCGTCTACGTAATTTTCTTGAGATTTATTTATCCGCGGAGCCAAGAAAAGCTTTGTTTTGGCAAATATTCCGGGATGGCGGTTTGTTCTCTTAGAACTCGGGATCCAGATGTCGACGCTGTACAGATTCCAAAAAGCTAAACGCTAACTTCTTACCCTACGTAATACCGTTGAGACGTCAAACTGATCTCGACTTTACTCTTCCAAAGTCGATGGAGCAATCAGTGACTTGAATATTTTGAACTGCTTCAAGTATTAATAAACGCAAGAATAAACGTTTGAGTCAAGCCATAAATAAATAAGCATGATAACTACAAATGTATTTCGGGTAATAGCACATAAATTTCGACATATTTATGCTATCAAATAATAATCAAAATAATTTTATAGCTTTTCTCAACTATTATTTCCATGAATAATTATTGATTAATAATTTTTTAATTAAAATAGCAATAAAATTGCAAGTATTTATGATATATTATGTTACATATATTTGAAAAATACGTTTAAACGGTCTTAAAAATTTTATTATTTATTTAAAGCCAAGAACTAACTACGAATTTTATATATTATATAATTACGTTTTTATAATTACAAAGTTGAAAATTAGGAATACTTTAGAATCACCCAGTACATATAAATACAAAAAGTATGCCTAACACTCTCGTCGAATCAAGATAGTGTCTCACGAGCTTTTTTGTTCCTTCTGACATATTATGCAGCCGGATTATCATGGTGCATTCAAGTGGCGTGCGAAGAAAATCCTTCATGATTAGAAAAACTGACAGCACGCCGAGAGGGTTCAAAGTGAGTCGTTCTAGGATCAATCTACCGGTTACTTGTGGACCCTTTCTTTTCTACTTCCGTCTCATGCTCGCTCAGTGGGAAAACCAGACACCACCTACGTCAAGCTTGGAGATTATTTTGAGTCCTTTTTCAACCTCTTGATAGATTATATCGCCGCGTGAAGAAATGGCGCCAGTCTAATGAACAATTTATCATCGGCCAGGTTTGCACCGACACCGAATTTCTTCAATATCAAAAATATCGCGCCACTGTCGGATTTCAAAACTGATGATATTAAACATAAGAACCGGCACTGTCACTTTTCATGACAAACGATATTAATCGTGGAAAATAAATTGTCGAAGAAAATGGACAAAGCCAAAAATGCGTTCGAGAACGTAATCGCTAAAAGAATCTGTGTTTGACATTCGTATAGATTAAACGATATCATGTTTTAACGTCTATATATATATATATATATAGTGCAGCTTTACAATGAATGAGAACGTATAAACTTAAATAATATACGGACTTGTCAGGAAAAAAGATCTTTTTTTCGATCAGAACTATAGCTTTTACATAACATCGCGGTCAAGGCGAATAATAAAATAGCAAAATTTATAAGATCGTCCCCCAACGACATTTCTAAAATAACATCAAAAGACATAATGATCAGTGCCGGAATACTCGAGTATCGCCTATTATTAGATGAAATAGAAATTATTATATCTGAAAATTTGATAAAAATATTATGAATTTATATATACATTCCATAAATTTTCGAAAAATTATACTCTGCATAACTAATTTAAAAATATTTCTTTTTCTTTCGTTAATAATTGACATCTTTTATCAGTCAATTTCTACATACTCTATTTCGACAAAATTTATAGCTAAAAAATATTCCTAAGTCTTTGATAGTATAAAATCATGCTTTATATATTTCCATATAAAACGTGTCAATAAAAATAACAAAATTTATCACTTAAACCATTTGTAATTATAAAATAATACTTTGTTAATAATATTTTTATTCTAATTATTTTTTTTGTCAATCAAGAATTTGTATTTTGAGACAAAAATGTATCGTTGTTGGTGTATCGTTGTTCTGGCGCGGCGGTACAGTCCTGACATCGTGGGACCACGAGAGACTACAAAAGATTTAAATAGTCGCGAGGGCGAGAGAGAGATAAAGAGAGACCTGAGGCGGTGGTTTCATGACGCGCGATGAAGAAGCGGACGAAGAAGAGGTAACTCGCGGTAGGGATAAAGACTGCCACAGTGATGTAGCCACGCGTCGACTAGTTTCACCCGGTGACTCTAAACGGCCAGCACGCTTTTCACGGCCTGCGGAAGCTGTCAAACTCGCGGAGCACGATTCCGGAAGTGAGACCAGGCCGAAATCAATTCGGTGCACCGATGTTCGTTATTGTTCGGGATCTCGAATGTAATATGTCGGGCCTTGGCGTCGCGACGTCGCCACGCCGAGACGCACATCTGGCAGAGAAGCGCATCTCGATGTTACGTAACAAAAAAGAGAAAGATGTCGAAATAGAGAATGAACTGTGATCAGGAATTTACAAAATTCGAACGAAGTGCGCGGCAAATTCAGGCGAAGAAATATCAGGACGAGTAAAAAAATTTGAGGAAAAAATGTACAAATTTTGGTCGTACTAATAAAAAGTATGACTGACCAATTTGGCGAAGAGCTTCATTGCGACTGTCAGTAGTGGTATTCTATATTAAACCGACATTTGCGGATATCCTACTTAAAATTAATCATTGAAATCGCGATAGTTCTTTATTAAGATTTTATTAAATTTTATTAAATAAATATATACTACAATTGCAGTTAAAAGTTATGATTTTAATCATCTCAAATATAATACCATCAATTTACTGCCATTTCTTCAAGCAACATCGAAAAACAAAACGTCATTCGCATAGTACGGAACATCACAGCTGTTCATGGCAAGTACGTTGTCATGAAAAGCACTTGGTCTGATGAAGGAGAAAAGAGCAACGAATGTTGTTGCACGATGTCGATGTAGTTAACTGACAGGACAGTCGCGAAAATAAGGACCGGCTACTTTAAGAAGCGGCTGTTTCCATTCGCAAGTCTTTCCTGGAATAAACTCGCGAGGGATGACGTTCAAACGTTCAGACATTAGCCAGCAACGGCTATTTGTTGATGAAACACTGATGGATTATTTAATGACTCGATCGATGAAATGACCCCCATCATTCGAGCGCGCATGACTGCATTAGAGAGACGGTACGCATTCGTAGGTAATGCGAATTCGCTGTTGATCTGACGAAGTCACGGTGGACCGCAAAATCGGGGGTCA